AAAGCCAGCTGAATCACAACTCTGAATTTCTGTGGGTGTCCGTTGCCAGTCCTACCTCATCAAGGCATCTTCTTGCTGTGCAGTGAGTGCTGGGCTCCCCCGTATTTTACAGAGACTGTGTATCTTAGACCAATGTAATAGATGTGAGACCTACTTCTGCTTGCTCCCTTCATTAGCTCTGGGAGGCTAGCTATGTCTTTTAAACCATTTGAAGTCTCCAGGAGGTCTTCCCATAGTCAAGATTTCAGCAGATCTCCTAAAATAAGCAGGATTTTGCCTGGTCAATGCCCCCATAGGAAGCCTGCAAGGCACATGCAAAACACTAAAGCAAACAGCAGCGCCTTTCTGCATCACTGGCATGGTCTGACACAAAGGGAAGCTTTGCTGGAGGATGAGCAACCTTGTAGCTAAATCCTGAAACGCAGACTTCAGTGAAGCCTTGACAATTTTTAGCCCTGCTTTTGTGACCGTACCACAAAGTTTGTGACACTGCTCTGTGCACCAAGCTTCCTATTGGGGCTGATATTCATTCCTTGCTTGATTTCTGGAAGTGCTGCCTCATAGTCCACCCCAGGGGCAGCTGCACTGCAGCACTAAGGGACTCTATTACCTGTGGGAGTCCCTCAGGATGGAAGGTGCCATAGCAGTGTCTTGACAGTGGCATGAGGGAGGGGGACCAGCTGCTCTCCCTCTCTGCCATATGTCTGTTTCTGTATGCAGCCTGAGTGCAAATGCATTTTATTAAATAAAAATGTCTTTAATTGAATGAAACTCCAAAAAGCTGGTTGGACTCCAAAAGCAACGTCAGCTCCAGGCACTGCTTTTGTTTTCTTTCGACTTTTAGCTTCTTAAGTCCAAACATCTCTCAGATATTATCACTTCTGTATTTTTAATTGACAGGACTCACAGGGCTAAAACCCTTCTGTGTTCAGTTCAAGGAACAGCATGGCCTGGCCTGGGGACTGTTGCCAGCAGGATGCACGGGTGAGACCATCCTGCTTCAGGAGAAAAGTGTTTAGCTGCACCGTGCCGTGCTGTTTGCTTTACTCACCAGAGAACGGGCCCTGGACTCTGAGGCCGGGAGAAAGGGTGTCTTGTCTTAGTCCAGCACTTCTGGTCTCCTAACGCTCCCTGTCACTGTTTCAGAGCATTGAGGACAGGCTGGCTGCAGAGGGAGATCCTTCACCTTCACATGCCTCCCAGGAAAAGGACAGACAGAGCAACTTTTCTGTAGTCCTGGGGCTTTTCTCCTTACACATATCCCCCCCCAGCCATCATATATAGGCTTGACTTGAGGAAGGTAATGTGCTGGACTGGTACAGGCTCTTCTTCACGTTTTTCTTACGAGAAACCCCGCTCTGGTTTCTTTGTAAGATCTTCTTCCCAGGCCAGCAAGGCTTCTGTGTCCTATCTCACATCAGACAATCCTTTCTCAGACCCGGGCTTGCCATGGGGTTGCTAAAATGCAGTCCCCACAAGGGGCAGACAGGGCACTTTTCTGTGATAATAATTCTACTTCAGATGTCTGTTGCTCTCTTGGTAGCAAACCAAGGGCAGAAGGCATGCATGCTAAGCGGTCTCTGTTTGACTCATCTACAGCCCTGTAGCTCCTCTGTTAGCAAGACCGATCACTGCCTGCCCAGTTAGCAGCCTGAACTGTGCTTACAGCAGCTCCGTCCTCACGGGGTGCCAAGGGCTGGAGGATGCTGAGACAGAGATAGTGCTGCAAGATACTGCAAGTGTGAAGTAGGCTAAAGCACTCAGAGAAGAGATGTACAGTATCTCTCTCAATAACATCTTAGAGGCACAGCACCAGTGTGTGGAAGAGTCTCAGTCTCCCAGTATAGCTACAGGAACAATTTTCTACTCTGTTTTGTTACAATCACTTGTAGCAAAGTCATGAGTCTTGCTCATGCACCCTTGGTGTTGCTGTGAGGTTCTTTTCCATAGTCACCCTGCTATAAAATATCCTACTGAACCTGTCCTCTCCTTGATACTATCAGTGTCACCTGCTAAGAGAGGGGACCTGTTCCTATGTCACAGCCTGCTAAAAATGCCTGTCCCTGGAGGTCCTCATCCCCACATCACCCATGCTGTGCTGAACTAGCTGAAGTGTAGACAGCTGCTTACCACCCAGCAGCTGCAAGGGACACATGTCCTGGAGGTGGCCAGGTGGGCTGGTATGGACCTGGGCCATGCACAGGGCGCAGAGCAGCCTGTCTGGGGTCTTTCAGGGGTAACCAGACTCTGGCAGGACATTTCCTACATTCACTGTCAGTCTCTGGCCACCACACAAAACTCCCGGCTGGGATCTTCCCACAGATACGCAGTGTTGGGACATTAGTGATGTGCTCTGGCACTGTACTTGACTTACACTTAACTGTTGTTTTCAAACAAAGGAAGACAAAAGCAGTCATTAGTGCGCAGACATTATCTCATCTATCCTAGCAGTACCCATTCCAGCTTTCTCAGCATTTCTTGTGGCATCCCCTCAGCAGTGCACAAGAGGATGCCTTGACTGCCTGATTCCTCTTCATTGCACTTAGCTGCTGCTTCCTACAGCCAGCACCAGAAACAACCTGTTATGTCCCAACAGTACTTTGAAGCTTGGGATTAAAGCAGTGAGAAGCCAGTATTTCCCTTCTCTACAGACAGGCTGTTGCCATTGTGAGCCTTCGTTTGCTTGGGTTGAAACTTGAAAGTGGAGCTCAGGGCTCTGTAATCAGAGCCAATCGCTTCTATCACTTGATGCTTTCAGCACTCACCTGGACACAGTCCCCAGCCGTTCCTACAGGAACTGACAACACTTTCATAGCGGCATCCTTTCTTGCAACGAAAGCGCTTTGCTCTTGACAGTTGTCCACACTATGCTTTTTGCAAGACTCTTGGTTAATGCGTTGTGCAGATCATATGATGCTGTCACAAATCCCTGGCATCTTTAGTACTTGTTTCTGGTGATATTCCAATTTCTTGAGCAGGTTTGGGGTCAAATCAGCCTCAGTCTATAATCACTAGTTGGGGGTTGTTTTATTTCCCTGAACACAGAGTACCCAGTTCCTTCATGCATCATTTATATTCCCTGCACCCTGGAAAAGCTCTGGCCACTTCTCTATTCCAGCCACGTTTTCAGAAATGTTCATTTTCTTTCAGGTTCTCTTTATAAAAACAGAAATGCTCTATCATCTCCAGTGACTCTGAGTATAGGTGATTTTGTAGATTTTCCACAATCTCAGCAAATGCTTTGTCTGTAGATTTAATAGACACTGTTAGGCTATGCAGCATATTATAAATTTTAGCCCCCATTACGATCAGTAAACTGCCAGGTTTTTTTAGATATCATCCATTGTTCACTCTCATAGCGGGGGGATGGGGGGTGGGGGGAGTTTTCTTCCAAGCCAGTGGAAAAACCTGCTCTCCTCAGACAGCCAGACATGTTTAATACTTTTTCCCTCTTCATGAGTGGATTACTCACAGCCTCACGATTGTACCGTGCAGCTTCATGTGCTATAAGAGTGGGTCTCATGACTCTCCTTGTTCACCAGCAGCCCAGGAAGAGGGTGGAGCTGAACCACAAAAACTAGTGGGGAAGGAATAGCTCTAAATCCTGAGGACTGGTCTGTACTGACAGCTTTGTAAAGGGATGGTTTTGTGCACCCGTTTCAGTGGAAGAGCTGTACCATCACCTTGTGTGATGCTACCCAGGCCTCTCCCCACCTTCTCTGTCTTGCAAAGTTACAGCAGAAGCTATGCTGATTCCTGCTTTGGGAATGCTGCCACTTCCATGATGGAAAAACAACAGCCTGGTAGGCTATGTGCAGGTTTTTGCCTTAGCTGGAGTGTCTTTGACAAATATAATGGCTGCAAACTGATCAGGTGAGGCATTACATTTACTTTCTTCTTCCTTCCCCATGCCTGGATTTCTTTCTGATGGCTGGGTGCTGCCTGGGTTGTGTAGGTGGCTGTTCTGTGAGCTTGGACATCTCTAGCCAGAAGCAAGCTTCCCACCTCTTTACATTTTGCAGGCTGGCTGATGAGGACCTGCAACTGCTCAGCCAAGTAGCACAACTCCAGGAAAGCTTCTGAGTCCTCTCACCACCTTCCCACTCCCTGCTTGCTTTCACCTCTCTCCTCTGACAGCTGATTTTACTCCTCCTTCTGCTTTCTGCAGTTTGCAGTCAGTTTACTGAATGGAGGGATTGGGAGATGATCATGAGTTGGATGGACAGAGCGGGCTGTGACAGTGAGATGCATAGCCCTCAGCATCTTGCCTGTGCAGATGGTGGTACCTATGAATTACAGTATTACTCAGTATTGGAAAGCTGGGCGTAAAATGCCTCATTCCTGTTGTCATAAGATAGAGGCATTGGGTTGGCCAGGTGGTCTCCCAGGCAGAAGCAGGAGCAAGGACTTTTTTGAGATCCCTCAGGCCCTCGTCTCTGGGTGGGGGTGATGAGGGAGGTCACACTGCACATCCCAGGCCCAGCATTCCTCTGGAGAGCTCTCTGCTCTGCACTGACATGCTCTCTGCTGAGCCATCCTGACCTCCAGAGACGTGGGAGAGATGGGTTGAGGCAGACTATGTCTGAGCTGCAGGAGGCCCTGAGGCTGTGGTGCAGCTGAGCAGAAAGGCAGCTATTGAGTCTGCTGAATGTTTTATAGTGCATTCAAGTACCGAGACCACTGTCAAAGCTGGACATTATCCATTTACAGCCTTGTCTTTAAAATAAATGATAACTCTTTGAGTCTGAGCTGTTGCTAGGTGAAGGAAGGACAGGGTGTATGTCTGATATGGGAAGGGAGACTATACCAAAAAGGCTGAGCACTCTCACCTGAAGGGCAGCAGAGATGGGAAATCGGCTCACAGAGCCTAGGTATCTCTTCAGACCATGGCATCATTCTGAGCAAATTTCCCACCCAAAGATATTTTACATTAAATTGGAGAATTTTGAACCCCACACTCACCCCAGAAGAGAGTTTGCTTATATTTTTTTAAACTGCAGAGATAAGTAAAGCCTGAGTCAGTACAAATGGTTGAGGGAGAAAAAGGGAAATAAAAAGGACTGTGCTCAAAGGGGAATGCTATGCCACAGGCACTGGCATGCAAGGGGAGGCAGCATGGGCCTGGGGAGGGAGCTGTGTTGTTAGGGAATTAACTCTGGGAGGAAGATGTTGTGGGTAAAAAGGGGCTGTAGGTGTTTAAAGGTGTGGGGGATAGGTGAGCAGTGGGGATATAGGAAGGTTTGCACAGATTTGTAGGCAGTTTTGGGTCTTGTGAGCCCTGGGGTGGGGGGCAGCGTGGGAGGGGGCAGTATTTCAACTGAAGGAGGTGCACCGAGCAGGTAACCTGCATTTATATGACAGTAATGCCCACTGTGTGCCCAGTCTTGCTCAGATATATGGAAAGAGACAATTGCTGCACAGAAAAACACATGAGCTGTGAAGCCAAGCAGTAAACAAAAGTCGTGAGGGAAGGGAGAAAAGGCAGCCATTGCAAACACAGGAGATGCCACACCGGACAAGATGAACGTCCCTTTAGGCCCTTATCTCAACCCTGGCAGTGGCTGATATCAGATGCTCCAGAGAAAGCTGCAAAAACAATCTTCACAACACATCTGGGCATTGGTGAGATAGTATCCCCAGGAGGGCTCTTCCTGCCAGACCCCATTTGCTGATCAGCCTACACATGGAAATCAGGAGACTGAGAACTCTTGTCAGCTTTGCTCTGACTGATGTTGCAGCCAGAAGGATTTTCAATCATGTAACCAGCTATCCCAGCTGGTTTCCCTCCCTAGTTGCTCTATTCTGGGTGTGCTATGGGCTTCTCAACCCTTCTGGCAAGTGTAGACCCATGAGCTATGTCACTAACCCCCGTGCCCCTGCAGACAAGCACAGCACAAGGTGGGGCTGGACTATACCCTTTCTAGATACATCTAATTGCCATGATTTGAGGGTTTATCCATTCTTCATCCCACAGTTTTGAGCACTTCAAGTGTGGGTACAGTTGGAGCAGCTTGCCACGATTCTTTTCCTCTGTGGGGTACTCTGTGGGATGAGTTAGCAGGACAGTGAAGCACAAACCAGGTGATCCACATAACACTGCTGTGGATGGTCACGGAAGGTCCAACAATGCTACATGGCCCAACTGGAGGGTCTATACCATCATTTTCAGGTGCTCTAGACACAGCCTGCTGCCTTCATTCTGTGTGCAGTAGGCTGATGAATAGGGGGAATAAATTTGAGGAAGGATCCCATGAGCCGACGACAAGTATCTTGGATTGACTGACAATTGCTGAGCAAGTTGATGGAGTTCAGTGTTACCCTGAGACACCTTTGACAGTCCCTAAGATGATGGTCTGTAAGATACCAGAGTGTAAGCTACAGAGCTATTGTGCATAGATCTCTTCATGGAAAACTCACACTATCTGTTCATACTCAAAGCACAAGGAAATCAAACAACAAAAGAAAAATGAAAAAGAATAAAAGAACTTTCAAAGTTTTATTTGGCTGTAAATGACAGCTGCTCTGGCCTCTCTGCACAGGATATTCTTCTGCAAGGTTTCTTAGATGCTTAGATGGCAATCTACGAAAAGAGAGGTGATGAAACTCTGATCTGATAGGCTTTCTGGGCAAAGTCCCTATGACCTGATGTGAGCCTGAGATTGAGAAAGACCTTCCCTTTCCTCAGTGCTGCATGGGAAGTGGCAGCATAAACCAGAGGGGACCTCCTGGCTCATGGCTAGTTCAGTTCCCCTGTTAGAGACTGCTGAACACACTGAGCGGGGTGGGGGTCTGTTCTGGTACCTCCTGCCCTTGCGTGCGCATACACACATGCACGTGAACAAGTGCCAGTGGTTTCCGAGTCCCATTTCTGTGATTTCCCCCAGCTGCAGGATATCCTGCCTAGTGAGCAGAAGTGGGTTTGTTCCACACCCCCATGCCCTCCCTTAGAGAACTGATGTTGGTGAACATACTACACCACTTTATTGCTATTCCTTTATGTCCGTACTGTAAAGGGATTGACTGTGGATGACAGCTACACTGGCCTGTTCAATGTGCTGAGGTTCACAGCACTACAGTCCCCAGGCAGCGGTTGGAGCCTGCCTGCCTTGCTGTGCCCACTCACTGGAGGTGCCCCAGGGAGGCAAGTGCTTGGCTGCTCAGCTGCTGTCAGCGTTCTGGATGCCTGCTCACATCCCCTCTGCTAGTGCCAGGGCTGCACCCCATGTGACACGGCATGAGGTGGGGGACCATGGGGCTAGGTTGGGACACATGCGGTGAGCACATGGTGTGGTGAGGTCCATCCCAATCCGTCTGCCCTCCATGACCTCCTGTAGCCCCCAGAGGAGGTGGCTTTCACTCTTGACTGCCTGCATCATGGGGTTAGGGCTGCGGTGGCTTTGCATTGTCCCCATGTGGCGTGCGAGTCCAGCGGAGGAGAGCAGGTCATTCATAGGAGTCTTAATGCATGAGACTTGGCTGGGCACTCCAGCTGCATTAAAGTCCCTGGGGAGGTAAATCGGTGGTTCTCTGGGGATGAACTCTCCATGCACCAGCCCTTCCCCTCTTTTTCTCCTGGCCCTTGGTGTGAACCTTCTGGCTCTCAGGGAGGTAAGTAGAGATACTTGAAAGCTATGATTAATGGTTTTAGGCTTATGCTGCCTGATTTTTTGAAGGCTCAGAATTATCTGCTGCCAGGACACCACACTCATGCTCCAGCAGCTGCTTCAGTGCCATTATGTTTGGCATCACTCATGCAAGAGACAGCACTCAAAGCAATGTCTCAGCGAGATCCCAGCTCTCCATGGGTTATCACTGCCCTACCCTGGGCAGCTAGGGGCAGTGGCAGCTCAGCACACTGCTTTTGTATATGCAAGGTAAAGGCAATGGGTAGTATCCCTCCTTGTGCTGCTAGTGGGTCCTGGTTTGGCTATGTGAGCTTTGTGGTTTTGGGTACTTGGTTTGGAGTGACTGGCCCAGCATGCCTAATGCAGAGCAGTGAACAAAGCCTGTTCCCAGACCACAGGAATGCTTGCCATTCTCTTTCCCTTTAATTTTCCCTTTAATTTCAGGTTGTCAACATGGAGTTTGGTAGCCCGCAGAGATTTTGAGTTTTTTGCCTTTTTAATCCCCACTTTAGTGTTGTTTCTTCAATAGACATTGTTTATTGTTGGTTAGTAGGGGTTTTGGGGTTTTTGTTGTTGTTGTTTGGGTTGTGTCTTTTTTTTAGTGGTAACAATGACTATTTCAAAGCTGCTTCCAAAACAAAAAAATCTGAGAATTACTCAGAAAGTTGTTACCAGTCTGGGAAAGCCTACAAATGATGCAAAGGCAGCTATATCCTGACACAGGTAATTGAAGCACATTAGACTTCACCACCCCTCACTTGCAAGAGCAAAGTCTACAGTTAATGTAGACCACAAACTCATGAGGTGTTTCTTACATGGTTAAAACAGTCCCCCCGACATGTTTTCCCTTTCATACACATTATTACCACTCCCCCCCCCCCAAAAAAAAAAAAAAAAAA